GTGTGTGTGTGTGTATGTGTGTGTGTAGTGGGTGTGAAAAACACGGCTACCCCATAATGAGGAACCAGACCATCAATCTGTTCATACGTAAAAATGCACCAGGTTAGTAACAGGCTGAACATAGCATGGGTTAGAGGGTGGTTATACGACACCAAAGGAGGATCACAGGAGAGAGAGAGAGAGAGAGAGAGAGAGAGAGAGAGAGAGAGAGAGAGAGAGAGATCAAATTAGAGGTTAGGCTAATGTTAGAGATGTGTCGGAGACAGCCATAGGGTGGGTGCATGCCCTGAAGCGCGCTTTTCGCTGCCTAGCACCCACAGCAGCTCATCAGAGGGTCAAGTTATGGTCTCTCTTTAGATTAGATTATAGAGGGGTATAGAGTTAGGGTGTATGATGCAACAGACACTCGAAGGAAGTTATCATCTTACCTGAAGATGGAACGTTTGAGAGGATGTGGCATCCCTGGGTGAAGCCATCGACACTTGACTGTAGAAGTAGCTCCTGGTGCAATTACCGCTCGCGGCACTTCTGCCTGAGTGTGTGTTAGGTGCGAGCTCACCAACGTTCAGTTATGGAGTGTCTGTTCGTGTGCACGGGTAGGAAGTAGATCCCGTGTCTTGGTGGTGCGGGGAATGAGATAGGATGGTAGTAGATCGTGTGCTTCGAGTGCATATTATGCACGAGAGGGAAAGTAGGGAAAGTCCCGTATTGCCGGTGAGGTCGCATGAAGTGTTGCGGTCGATAGTGAAGCAGGCAAGCGCCATTGTATACAGTTGTGTGAGGTCGCATCATCATGATGTAGGTCAGGCGATGGAAAGGATAATGAGTATTTTGGGTTTATTTTTGGGAGGGGTTTGCTTTTGATTTTTTAGGGGAAGAAGGGTTTTCTTGGTGGATGGGAAGAACGTTTTTCTGTTGTGGCTACTGAGGTCAGAATTTCTGTATCTGCGCGTACATTTGTATGGGTTATGGTGTGCGTAGCGGGTACTAGTGTGTAGTTTACAATTTGTCAGTACGCAGTGATATGGCGGGAATTGCAGCTGATTAGTCTTTTAGTGGCTTTGTATTGCCCAAGTTATGGCACAAATTTCATAATGTAGTTTGTCTTGATTTGACGTGCCAATTTACTTTGGAAGTACCTCACGAGTATTTGTCTTTCTGAAACCATTTCTGCGGGGTGTTTTTGAGGGGATTTTGTCGTTTGTGTTTACCATTCCGTCATCATATGTGTCTCTTTGGTTTTTTGTTTTTTCGTTTTTTCGTTTTTGTTCGTTTTTTTGTGTGGTGCACTTACACAGAAGCGGGGAGATCGTAGTCTAATTAGTCTTTTGGACTTTTAGTGTATTAGCGCTTGCTCATGTTGTGGTGTATTTTTCGTGATGTGGTTTGTCCTCTCTCTATGTGCCAGCCTGCTTGGAAGTGTGCCGTGAGTTTTTGTCTATCCCAGACGTCCTTTTCCGCTGGTTGTTCCTGAAGGAGGCTTGCCATTTGTCGTTTATAAGTCCGTCATCATCTTGAGTTTGCTTGTTTTTTTTCGTGGTATGCGAAAGAAAAACGCCTTTTGTAAGTGTATATGAAGCTGTGTCGAGGTGTGCGTCCCATAATTTTTATGTTCTTTTGTAGAAGTTACCGTATATGTCCGGGGTTTTTATGTATTGTAGAAGTTATGTGGTTGGGTTCTTGCGCCGTTACTGGCTAGCGATAACCCTCTTTGTGGCGAACAAATTAAGCTCGAGAAGGAAAAGCCCCCCCCTTTTTTTTTTTTTTTTTTTTTTTTTTAAATGTTTTGTCGATTTGTAGTGATGTTTTTAGAAAATTACTGCTAAGCTTTTATCTCTATTTGTTTTTTATTATATCTGAAAACATTGTTATTTATTATTTCCGTTTTTTATTATTTTGCTTTACAGATTTATTGATTATAGCTATTTATTATTTGATTCTATTATTATTTTAATTTTTTATTTATTTAACTTATTCTTTGTTATTCAACTTATTCTTTATTCTTTATTATTTTTTTATTTTTCATTTTGTTTTTATTTTTTAAAATATTAATTATTATTTTTCATTTTATTTTTTATTTTTTACTTTTACTTTTTATATATATTTTTACTATTTTTTATTAATTAATTAATTTATTATTGTTTTATTATTTTTTATTTTCTATTATTATTATTATTATTATTATTATGTGTGTGTGTGGGTGTGTGGGTGTGTGGGTGTGTGTGTGTGTAACCCAAAGACTGCAACTTGTTAAATTTTGCATATGCCGTTCCGAACATGCCCAGTTATGAAGTGAAGAAGAATTGGGAGAGTAGTTCTAATAGTGTTTGGTTGCTTGCCTTGTCTGGGTGTGATGCATGTGGGCTGCATTCCGTGTGTGTGTGTGACAGTGTGCGTGTGTGACACTGTGTGTGTGTCTGTATGCGTATGTATGTGAACACAGTGAAGGTGTTGTTTGGGAATTCTTTTGGTTTTCATGGTGCGCGTTCCCTGTCTGTGTGCTGTGGTATAGCAGTCCCTTAGAGCTCGCTGTTCTCATGATAGCTGCTGGGGAGCCAGCACATGCTTTTTCCTCTCTATTGGGTGGCCTTCGCCTATCAGAAATGGCTGTGCTTCACGGTGCTTATCCAGGAGCAGGCTCGTCAGGTCATCCAGGTATCGCCGGCCAAGCCGTTTCAGGCATGCCAGTGAGTGGGCAGAGAGCACAGGAAGTGTACGTACACGGCACCCCAGCAGCATACTACGCTGTCATCAGAAGGTATTTCCTGTCTCTTTTCTCCTTTTCTGTTGAAAACAAAACAGCAATTTCAGTAATTCTGTAGCCATGGGTGATATTGTTTCACTGTTTCACCTTGCTGGAGCCGTCCTTATCATTTCCTCTTTTCTTTTAAACTTTTCCCCTTTTCGGGCCCAGCATCCCTTAAAGAGGCAAGATTGCAAATTGGAAGGGTAACATAGGCAGCCCCGGGGGAGAGAAGGAAGCTCGGGAACAACAACTCTAATGGCCATATGCCCAACAAACACTGTACCACAAAGATGTATCCAAGGGACGCTGGACCCGATTTCCAGCAGGTGTTGCTCCCGACCAATAGATGGAGCCTACCCGACGGTGCTAGATGTGTCTGCTCTTATCAGCACACCTAGCATCCGATCCGGTTGTTTGAAAAAAAAAAAAAAAGAAAAGAGACACAGACAGAGCCAACCACATCAACTCCCTCTGCTAAACCGGCATTTCGTCAAAACGGAGATTTTTTTTTTTTCGGAAACTGGGCTTTGTTGAGAAGCCCCAAAAAATGCCCAAGTTTCCCTTCTGAGGGTCAGCATCCTCTGGACTGTTTTTGGCCCGGATTCATCCGGCTTTTCAGAGGGTCTCTCTGGCGTACCCTCAGAGGATAATTTTTCATCATTTTAGGGCTCTTTTTTTGTTGTTGTTTTTTCCCACATGTGGCCCGCTTGACCACGGGTCAGATATTAAACTGACTAGAACAGATACAGTGCACTTGATCTTACTGAGGGCATCACCACACTAACTACTGTCAAAATGTGCAAAATGAGAATGAACTTCTCGCTAGAACATGGCAGATGCGCCCACCAGATTTTGGTCCCTTTCACACTTGGGGAGTGGTGTGGCGAGGCCCTTAGCCAAAAGGACGAGAAAGGATTTTCTTTGGCCTCTTCATCAAAGCCCAATTCCATTCAACAAAAAAAAGAAGTCTCCCTTTTGCCGAAACAGCTGTTGTTATACCCAGGGGGTCCATGGTTGATGGAATTAATTTTTTGCTCTCTGAAGGGAGGATTTCTGAATTTTATGTCCAATCCCCTCTGTGAATGCATTCGGTATGACAGCATCCGTACTGACGTAGAAATAGGACAAAAGAAACTGACAGACAAAAGAAAAAGAATAGAAGTCATAGAAAATGACAAGTAGAAAGGAACGATGGAGAAAGGAGTAGCAAGACCGACAAGCAGATATAAATCCCGAACGCGACTGTTAAAAATATTCAATAAAGCTGGAGCCTGGCGGCTAGGACCCGACGTTTCGGCCGGCCGCTTCCGGCACTCCTCAGGGGTCTTTGTCGCGGAAGGTAGTGATGGAACACTACACATCCTATTTATATCCTGCAAATCGATAGAAGAACCTTTTTCTAACAGAAACAAAGAGTACTACAGGACCGGTTTCGACCTGCCGACCTCAGATCCTACGAGTTCCTAAGAAAGCACAGGTATTCACAAAACATATAATACCAGCCACGTTCATCCAAAAGGCATCGAATTCTCCAGACTCTTCTATGACTCAAAAACACTTAACCTGCCCACCGTTCCACCTCCACATCGTGGCCCGGTAATAAGCACTGCACCGGTTCCAACCGACCTTACAAAAAACCTCTTTAACCGCACGGTCCGACTACCACCGTGTATCTTAACCTAGTCGCCCTTCCGAATTTATACAAAGTACAAATCTCGGAAACGACAGTCCACAGCTCCAGTTCTCGGACCGATACTGTATCCAGACAGGTTATCCAAGTCAAATACATTCATACTTTCGAACCCTCTAGGTCCCATACTTTACGAAGAGCAAGCATAGTACAGACGAACTGCCCATCAACCTTGGTTAGACAATACGTGGGTCAAGATTTAGACCCCATCTTCCATTTTTTCAACGTTCGGTCCCAACCAGTGAGAACAGGAATCCATTCTCCCCAGCAATTAGCAAATTTCCGGGAAAATTTAACAAGAGCACCGTCAAAATACTCATCCGGATGTCCCCGCAGCCACAGTTCGTTCTTCAGAGTTAGAAGAAAATGGAATTCCAGACCGGGAATAGATGTGAATGTCCTGGCTCGATGCAAAAACGAACCAATTACTGCAAACTTCTGGTGGCGACTAGAATTAGACCGAAAATTCTGTATGCTCTAGAATCTGCGCATAAAGTTGATGTCCTTTTGCTGATTCTTGTGCGTGGCTTGACACACCACTATCGAAAGACAACTCAAAATCCTTAGCTCGCATCCAATGAACTGCCACTGCTGCCCATCATTGGTTTGCTCCAGCGTAAGGCCTTCATCATAGCAGCTTCGAAACTTACTCAATATCTGCAAGGCCCTACGCCTGGAGCTATCATCATCACGCAAATACTCCACAAACACTGAGACATCATCAACTACTCTGCAACGATGCACAATCCTCCTATCCCTCCCAAGCGACACCAGGAAACAAAACTCATTGTATGCACATTGCAAACAAGCCAAAGCAGGGCTAGTAGTTTTTCCCATAGGAATTCCCACAATCTGTCGAAACAGTTGTCATGCCACCACCACGAACGTACTACTCAGTTCATACTCGACAAATGCAGTCATTATCTCAAACGAGACAAAAATCCACCCATCCTCTCCTCCGCCTTTTGTAAGCCGGACCATCTTCCCGTGTTTACTTATCAAAACTCCCATAAAATTCTCCCCCATCCAGTAATCAGTGGCCCATTTGAGAGTCGAGATAATGGACAGGTGAGGCAAATTCGAAAACATGTCCTTTATGTCAAATGATCCCCCAATCAACGCATAGTTCTTCTTCATACTCATATTTATATTATTGATCCAGCGCATGAGGTCATCAGTCCTTCTTAGATTGAAGTGCATGTTCTCGGGGAGTCTCCACAGCAAAAAATTAACAGCACGAGATACCCGTCTAGCCCCCACCACTGACCCTTCGAAAAATGATGGACAGATAGGTCTCCACTTCGCTACATCTTTATGCTTTGGTATACAATAAGCACGTCCAAATTTCCCATCTTTTTTTTTTCCACGCCCCCATCATACCAAATCCACCATTGTCGTATTTATGTTTGCAATAGTTTATCAGCAGAGCTTCAGAATCCTCCTCTTTAACAAACAACGGATTCGCCAGGAACAATTTTTTCATACCATGTCCATAGACAACCAGGCAACACACGTATGTATCTCCCGGATTGTGATCCCGCGGAGAACATACTAACCCTACTAACGTCTTCTTGAGAGAAATAACCTCCTCAACTTGACACGACACCGACTTCCTGGAATCAGATTCAAGAATACAGGTAGAAAGAAGATCGGAATGAAGAAGCTCATCTTTAATAGGAGGAAGAGATCCAAGATCATGAAAAGATTGCAGAATTTGAGTACGTAGACTAGAAATGGGTTCACCAGACGAAGGACAGAGAACATTCTTAGAATTGAGTACACAGGCAGGGACAACATCAGAGAAATCGCTAAAACGAAACGATACATGCCCATTGATCCGAGGAAAAACAGCCTCTATACCCGTACAACTACATTCAAAATTCCCACTCCTCACAATCGATCGGTGATTGAGAATCAGATTACAGACGGACAAGTTCCGACACCAGACCACCCTCATACGACGAATCAGCATATCTTTCCATGTCGGCTTTATGTTCAAACTTTCCAATAATCCAGAACACACCTTTTGAATAATAGACTTGCAATACTGATGATCGTATACAACACGAATCACTAGTCTAAGGCGAATGCAGATGCCGAACCGAGAAGAAATGGCACGACATAACAACATGCGCAAACGGCCATGAGTCCGTATTTCCTGAAAACATCGAATAGCCAAAAAAGCATAAACGAGTTAACCGAATTCCCACGTACGCAGACAACTTCTGGAGGCAGGTTGCTTCAAAAAACCCGCCAAGCGGGGTTTCAGAGCCTGTCCTTTTTGACAAAACGGTACGACAACTTCGAAAAGAAGTAACACACCCGTCATCAGCCAACCTTTCACGTTCCGCAACTGATCACGACCAAAAGAAGAGGACACAATCGAAGAACCATAATAGCGCTTCAGCACCTTCCAATTGTCGAGAAGGACGGACCCTCCTCTACATGCAATAGCCGCGCTGATTAGCCCATCATCTCGACACACATTCAAAATTATCATCAAACTGTGAGATGCCACCCCGGTCGAAGAATGGAATTTGACCAACACCTTCTTCTCATCTGCAGCGGGCCTTCATCTGCCCTGGCCTACAGCCAGGGCCTATTTGGCTATTTGCCATTTCGGCCTGTGGGACCAGGCCGTGGCCTGACCCCACAGGCCGTGTGATGTTCCAGTCCTGCCCGGTACCACTGTCGGTACCAGGCCAGTCCAGTCAGTCAGTCTGCTGGGGGTATACCCCAGCTGTAGTCTTTTTTTGATTCATTCCTCATTTGCACAGATTGGAGTACGTGCGTGTTGAGTCTGCGTTGGAGCTGCGCTGTCCCTTCCAGCTCCATCTCCGTCTCCCCCATCCTCATCCCTTCGTCCTGATCCTGACGGACCATCATCCCGGCGGGTCCGTCACACTGGTATCAAAGCAGGCTTTCCTCCCTGCTCCTCTCCCCCACCCACCCCACCTATAAGTTGCCACGCGGCTTGAGCAAAAAAAAAAAAAAAAAAAAAAAAAAAAAAAAAAAAAAAGTTCGCCATTTTTCTTTGGTAATGACACCGGTGCACTCTTTCGATCGTAACTTCTGCACCGGTGGTCCAAATTTACTGCTTTTTAGCTTGTTGGAAAGCTCTCGACGAGCCGCTTCCAACACGCTATAGAGCGCCTAATTCTGTGCGGTGGTTGAGGAGCTCTGATCTTTCAAAGATCGCATTTTTTTTTTAAAGCTAAAAAAAAAACCACCCGCGCTCGTTTTTTCAACGAGCGCTATTATTCTAGGCAGTGGCTGATGCTGCGCCTTATCTCGTTGGAAGCGGCTTTCAAAAAGTTTTCCAACAAGACCTCTTTTGCCAAATTTCACCCAGCGGGTGAAAAGTTTTTGGCAAAAG